GTATTACTGTTCCTTAAGTTTTAACAAAATTGTAGGTGAGTAGCACCTATTGTTAAAGTGGGATGCAATAATTAGCAAGGTAGATATTTTTATTTCTGTGTTTTATTGAGCATGTTTATTTATGAATCACAATTTGCCCTTTGTGTTTCTTGTATATTTCAGGGAAGTTTATGGAATATCTTTATATAAAATACTTGATACTATCTATCTTTTATGTTTATATGGGCAAGATATGTTATATATCTAATTTTCATGGCTTGCAGTTGGGGGGCATGCCTTTTCTGAGCCACTCAGAGCAACTAATACTCATGTTAGAAAACGTAGGCCCTTATAACTTACAAACCAGAGAACAAGGGTTAGGACAACTCAACCATAAATTACCACTTATAAATTTAGGGGAGGTTGGAGAGAGGGCTAGACAGTTAAAGCACTAGATGCCCTTCCAGACGCCCCAGGTTCAATTTCCAGCACCCACATGGTGGCTCACACCTAACTGACTGACTCCAGCTCCAGGGAATCTGGCACCCTCTTCAGTCCTCGGAGGGTACTGCATGCACATGGCACAGACATACCTATATACATAAAGTAGGTGAATAAAATTAAGAAATTTTAAAAGCTGTTACTTTAGTAGACTCAAATTCATGAACACGTTTCTTTTGGGTAATAATGCTTAGAAAGGTTGGCTTTGCCAGGATGTCTGACCTTTTGGCAGTGTGATATTTAGTTTCTGTCATTTTGACATAAACTAGGGTCACCTGGAGAGAGGGAACCTTAGCTGAGGAAATGCCTCCATCAGACTGGCCTATGGGCATTCCTGTGAGAAATTTTCTGGATGAATGATTAATACAGAAGGGCTCAGTCTACTGTGAGTGGTGCCACCCTTAGGTAGGTGGTCTCAGGAAGCCAGCTGAGCAAAAACAGCAAGCAAGACAGTAAGCAGCTTCCCTCCATGGCTCAGGCCCCGGCCTCTGCTTGAGCTCCTGCCCTGACTTCCCTCAATGATCAGGACATGTAAGCCAAATACAACCTTTCCTTCCCAGATTGCATTTGGTGAGTGTTGTTTTATCACAGCAACAGAAAGCAAACTAGTACAGACAATGACAGGACGTTGTCATCACTTTCAGTGTTATCCTGGGATGTGTGCAACCCACACTGGACACTCTTGTGGCTAGCCAATGACATATTACTTAATTATCATTAATGTTCATTTCTAACTCTGGTACTTCAAAACAATCAGTACTGTATTTGACCTATTTTCCCCTAAATGTTTGCTCTGTGTGACTATTTTATCCTTCTATAAGAACTGTTAACACTAAAAATCATTAAATACTATACTATCATATTAATTTGAATGCATTCCTGCTTTACATTCAGCACCAGAAGTGGATGTGCTTTCATCCCAGAAATCTTACAATATACAATCGTGTTGGATGAGGATCAACTCCTCAAATGCCCTTCTTTTGCCTAATTGATTCTTGTCCTTTACATATTACAGTAGTTTTCTTATGCTCAACAATAACTACATTTACACACATGAGCAGAGTTCTTTATGCTTATGTATCAATCTGAGAAACATGATACATTGAATGATGATAAAACTTTCAACCTGGAAAATTTGTGTTTCTTCATGCGTCATCTATGATCCTTCATAAAAAACTACCTGTACTTTTATTAAACAATGTCCTAAATCATTCTATTTTTATATTTTCTGAATCATGCAGTTGAATAAATATTTTGGATAAAAATCTATTGCTTGTTTATTATTTTATTCTAAAATCCAGTCTCTTTGTTCCTAGCTACCGTTTAAAATTATAATAAATAAGTTTTATATTTTAAGTGAAAAGTTATATAGAGTACAGGTACTTATACCTTTATGTGTCTATTTATGAATGTTTATATCTCATTTTAATTTTTGTTTGGCTAGAATTTGAAAAAGAGCAGAAAGAGACAATATACTCATTAACTTTAATTGGAATATCAGGAGTCAGTTCTTCCCTTCCTTCCTTCCTTCCTTCCTTCCTTCCTTCCTTCCTTCCTTCCTTCCTTCCTTCCTTCCTTCCCCATGGGTATGGCATCTGAGTGTGGTATGTGCACATTTGTGTGCAATTTCCTGTGGACTCCAGTAGAGGGTACCAGAGCCCCTGGATCTGGGGTTAAATGCTGTTGTGGGCCATCAGACATGGGCTGGGAACCAAGCTCCAGTACTCAGAAAGAAAAGTAAGCACTTTTAATTGCTGGGGCTTCTCTTCTCCTCTAAGTAGGGTCATATGTGTGTCTGTATACATACTCTCAGTTTGTAAGATCAAAGTTTAGAAATCCTCCACTGGGGATCCTCTTTGCTCACTGTATTTAGAGGTGCATCACTCACCTGCAAAGCCCATTTCAGTTTTTCCTGAAGGGCTCTCTTCTCTATCTTCAGTGATTCTGCTTCTCTCTAGGGAGTCAAAAGAGAGCAACATTCACTCTGGTACTTTTCAGATTTACTTCCATGGTTATTACATGTCTCCAATCCACAGACCACCAGTATGATGATCTGAACACATTTAACTCCGAAGTTCTCCTATGCATTGGTAGATACCACCTGATGCTATAACCTCCTGTTAATTTCTCACACACATGATTTCCATGAATCTTGTCAATTACAACTACTATAAATGAAACATTTCATTTCTCATTTTCCTCAGGTCTGAAATATTTAAATGGAAATGTTGCTAGAGGAACAATCTCCAATTTTAACATAAGGTCCAGCGCTTAGCAGAAATTAGTGAGTTACACATTCAGAAAACCTACAGAGGATGATGGTTTGAGAACTGTATCCAAAGCCCTATGTGTGCCTTTTGTGTGTCACATCAAGCCCCTTGAGGACAATCTAGGTAGGTTTTAACCGCTGTACACTATGCACTAAAGAGAAACGCCAAAACTGAAGTGTGAACAAGGAAAATGATCCATGAAGGAAAAGGAGGCCTAGGTAAGATTCTTGTTCTCAAGGCCTTTAGTTTGGGAGTAAGGCCAGCTTGAGACATATGAGGCATTCAAGAGCTTAAAGAAAGTTTACAAACAAGGGCAAAGTTTGTGACAATCCCAATCATGAAAGGCTCAATGGAAGCCACATGAAGGAGAAAACAGAAGACAAAGGTCCAATAATTTTATATAAAATATGTCCAAGCCTCTTTCTGCCCTCTGAACTACACACACTCAAAACAACCTGGAAAAAAATCAAAGAATAAAATAAGTGGCTAGAGAGGTATATAATTTCCACACTCACCCAATCATGTTCACTATATAATAGGAAAAAAAAATACCAGTCATCAAAAGGACACAGTGGATCTCAGAGTTTCAACACATTACTCACAATATCCATAAAACAATGTGAATAACCTGGAAAAGTGAACTCATTATTAAGGCAAAGGAAACCAAGAAAGAGACCCCAAGACAGTCCCAACTTTAGGGTTGCCATAAAAGACTTTAAAAGCAACCATCATGACAGCTTCCAATATGTCTTTAAAGGAATGAACAGAGATCTTCTCAAGCACAAACACTATAATACATTGGCCAAATGGTAACAACTGTAGTATCAACTATTAATCATGGTTTGAAAACCAAATGTATGGACAGAATAGCAAGTTGAATAAGACAATGAAAAGGTAAAAACACTTAGACAAATCAATGTAAAATATGTAAATACAGAGATAAACCTTTTACAAACATATGAGGAGCATATAGAGTGACATTGGATTTCTACCACCCAACTGCCTTTTTTTCAGGCATAGAAAGAGGTAGAAACATGTGTGAAACCTTGGCAAAAGGTACATACTCAAGATGCTGAGCACATGCCAACTGACTGTGTTAAGAACAGTCATGTACCCAAGCAATAAAACCCAACTGCTGGAAACAATAAAAAGTGAAAATAAGAAAGGAAAAACCCAAACATCACACAGGAAAACAATGTGAAGGCTGTATCTTACCAGAAACACTAAAGTCAAATAAAAATTAAAAAAAAAACTTTAAAGTGTAAAACAAATGCCTATAAATCTCCTTTAATAAAGCAGTTATTGTAAGAAAAAGTTTGAAATCTATGTTATTATTCTTATTGAAATCTGAGAGGAAACAACATCTGCTAAAACAAAACTCAGTAACAATGGAGACCAAGAGCAAACAAACCTCTAATCACCAATCCGGGGATCTCAGTAGGACCTGGAAACTAAAAAACACATGGCAAAGAGGCCAGAAATACAGTCAGGCTTGTGAAGTGACACAGCCACCTCAGAGAACATCAGAGCTCCAACAGGGCAGGTGAGCCATCAAAATGGAGCTATTAAGAGGCAATCAGAAGGGACAGGCAGAAGATTTTTTTTTGTATAAATATTAACAGAATTGTATAGACTCAGAGAGCATGTATCTTACTTGGATTTCAGCCAGTTCAGTTTCTCCGGATGGAGACAACCTCCTGCAATTAAAAATATTAAAAAGCATATCATGATATTTGAAAATACATCACTGCTTTGTTTTCCCTAGGACTTTAGACCATTTAGAGTCTTACAAGAAATACATGCCTTTAACACACACACACACACACACACACACACACACACACACACACGGAGGGAGCGAGCAATTTTTGGAGGTCAGAGAGCATTTTTTTTTTTTTTTGGAAAATAAGAGTCTCTTTTATTTCTAAAAAGCCATTTCTTTGCTTTTACCCTGTGTTTGAGGCAGGGTCTCTTGTTTCCTCCATTGTACTACATACATGACCTGCTCCTATGTCCCATCTCCCCACGAGAGCGCTGGGATTACAGCCATTAACCACATGAGCCACACTGCATCGGGCTTTTATGTGGGATGCAGGGGTCAAACTCAGGTTGTCAGGCTTATGCAGCTAACTCCTTGGCCCTTCATACATTAAAATAGTCATTCAAGGCAGCGGTGTGTGTGGGGTCGTGTGCAGCCCCGCCTGTGGCGCAGACAAGGACCCTGAAAATAAACAGCCACTGCTTTGTTTTGCGAGTCGCTTTCCTGGGCCTGCCTCCGAGTATCCACCACTGTGGGCAGCTCAGACGCCGAAGCTCTTAACTGCAGCTATGAGTAGCAACGAGTGCTTCAAGTGTGGACGATCAGGCCATTGGGCCAGGGAATGCCCTACTGGCGGAGGTCGGGGTCATGGAATGAGAAGCCGAGGCAGAGGATTCCAATTTGTTTTCTCATCTCTTCCTGACATCTGTTACAACTGTGGTGAGTCTGATCATCTTGCTAAGGATTGTGATCTTCAGGAGGGTGATGCCTGCTATAACTGCGGTAGAGGTGGCCTCATTGCCAAGGACTGCAAGGAGCCCAAGAGAGAGCGAGAGCAATGCTGCTGCTACAACTTTGGCAAGCCAGGGCATCTGGCTCGTGACTGTGACCACGCAGATGAGCAGAAGTGCTATTCTTGCAGTGAATTTGGACATATTCAAAAAGACTGCACCAGCGTGAAGTGCTATAGGTGTGGTGAACCTGGTCATGTAGCCACCAATTGCAGCAAGACAAGTGAAGTCAACTGTTACCGCTGTGGCGAGTCAGGGCATCTTGCACAGGAATGCACAATTGAGACTACAGCCTAATTATTTTCCTTTGTCGCCGCCCCTCCTTTTTCTGGTTGATGGTTGTATTATTTTCTCTGAATCTTCTTCACTGGCCAAAGGTTGGCAGATAGAGGTTGTTCTCAGGCTTTACTCGCAGTGTAAAAGGAGGAAAGGGGTGGAAAACAACAACAACAACAACAACAACAACAACAACAACAACAACAACCGAATTTCTGCATTTAACCACAAAAAAGTTCATGTTTAGTTTGGTAGAGGTGTTATGTATAATGCTTTGTTAAAGAACCCCCTTTCCGTGCCACTGGTGAATAGGGATTAATGAATGGGAAGAGTTCAGTCAGACCAATAAGCCCTTCTGGGTTTGAGTGTGTTCCCATGTAGGAGGTAAAACCAATTCTGGAAGTGCCTGAGCTTCCATAAATAACATTAATTTTTAGCATAATGACGGCCTTGGATTGTCTGACCTCAGTAGCTATTAAGTAACATCTGTATCAGGCCCTCATAGAACATACAGTTGAGTGGGAGAGTAAACTGAAAAGACAAATGTGTTGGTGGCTATCTATGCCAGGGAAATCTGGATAAAAGCCTAACACAGGAGCAGCTTCATCCCATGCAGATGGTGATGGCAAAGGTGTAGAACACATTTTTTTCAAAGACTAAATCTAAAACCCAGAGTAAACATCACTCAGAGTTAGCATAATTTGGAGCTATTCAGGAATTGCAGAGAAATGCATTTTCACAGAAATCAAGATGTTATTTTTGTATACTATATCACTTAGACAACTGTGTTTCATTTGCTGTAATCAGTTTTTAAAAAGTCAGATGGCAAAAGCAACTGAAGTCCTAGAAAAAAATAGAAAATGTAATTTTAAACTATTCCAATAAAGCTGGAGGACAAACGGGAGTTTGACTAAAGTTCTTTTGTTTTAAATTTTCATCATTATATATAGAATAAAATACCATATTAAAGAGGGGAATGTAGAGGACTGAAAAACAATAGTCATTCAAGCCATATGGCTTAAGTGGTAAACAAAAGATTAACTTTTCTCAAGTGAACTTTTCAACAGGATGATTAAAAGGTGAAGTGGCTGAGATTTTTGAAAGTGTACTGAATATTTTTCTTTCCTGACCACTATTCTTCTTCAAAGGACATTTTTTTTGTCTAATATATTTCCAGAGACTAAAGCCCCCTATAAACAGTGAATTCATAGGCTTGTTCAAAAACTATACTGTAAATAAGACATGACATGCTGATTTGAATTATAATCACCAACTTATAATACTTATATTCACTTCTCAATTCACTTAGTAATAATCACTTTTTAAAAATAAAACTGAGCATAATTAAAACCTGCAGTCAAAGAGAACAAATTCTGGAGAACTGATTTAGGGAGTCCAAGAACCTGCAGCATTAGCTGGCGAGGCAGACTCAGTACAAAGCCTTTCCCTGTGACATTTGTTTAAAGATTTCAATCTGCGTCCCTCACCCTTAATTCTTCAGCTTCACACTGCAACCTCTAAGCTTGTAACAGTTCCTTGTTCTTCCCTTCTTGGTTTTCCCCAGCCATACCCTGGCCTGATTATAAAACTATATTCTTGTTTATTTTATTTTTTTAAAACTGTGAATAAGGCACATTTTTTACAATCTTTAATTTTTTTAAAAAAGATTTATTTATTTATACAGTGTTCTGCCTGCATGTATGCCTGTATTCCAGAAGAGGGTACCAGATCTTACTATAAATGGCTATGAGCTACCATGTGGATGCTAGGAATTGAACTCAGGATCTCTAGAAGAGTAGCCAGTGCTCTTAACCACTGAGCCAACTCTCCAGCCCCCATATTTTACATTGTAAAAATTAAAGTATGAGTTACCAAGGAAGAAAAAGATCACATATCTTCATGCCTTACCTTTCTGATTCTTTTTTCCTTTCTGGTCTTGGGGGTTTCTTGGTTCGTTCGTCTTTGCCTGTAGGCTTTGCTTTCTGTACAGTTTTGAACACATCAAAATAAGAGTAGCGTAAGTTATAGGAGGTGCATGGTAGTATATGCTGTGGAGAGTTCCCTTTCATCCTGAGAGTCACTCTACTATTTCAGGGGGAATTATCTGAAGAAGCAAAACTAATGATATACCTATGCTGTTTGTATTCATACTTAAAAAAAAAGAGTGGGGGGAAGTTGCAGGGGTCTTCCTCTACTGCTCTCTATCTTAGTTATTGAGACACTGTCTCTCATTTAACAATGAGTTCACCATTTCGGCTAGTCTGGCTGGCCAGCAAGCTCTTGGAATCTGGCCATCTCTATGCCCCAATGCTGGGGTTACAGGTGCACCATTGAGCCCAGTTTTTTAATGTGGGTGCGGGGGAGTCATGTTCAGCTCCTCATGCTTGCATAGCAAGCATTTCACTCACTACTGATCTCACTATCCTCTTTATTCATGCATCTGAGTGATTTAATATACTGAAGTAATTAATTTCCTCTGACAGTTTTCCATTTCTGCTACAGTGTGGCCTAAGGCTCCTCATTGTGCTGTACTTGCAGTAGAGCCAGCGGGATGTGGAGATGTGTGTTTGGATGACATCATACAAACATACCACCAGTGAAGGACTCAGAATACCCAAGTTCATTGAGTAGACGCAGCCCCTTGTCCTGAAAGAGACCTGAAGCCCATATTTAGAGGCAGAACCTGAAGTGAAACAGGTTTATCTGAGACTGCAAGGAAAACTGAAATACCAGATGGGGCTTATGTGGGACTTTGTAGGTTGAGAATCACTGAGCTGGCAAAGCTGCCTTCACCCATTGTTTATCCCAATGAAATGGCGCACACACACTGAAGTGAAATTCAAATGCTACTGAATTGTGCAGCACACTTGGAAAAAATTCATGTCTCAAACCCATCATCATAACATAGCTGAACACATGTGTAAAAGCATTTCTCAGACAGGATCTGAGTGGTCTAGATCAGCAAGCCTGGGCAAAATATTCTTGAACTTCTCTGAAGGACCAGATAATTTTATATATGAATCTAGAGAAAGAATTTTTAACAATTATTAAAGTTATAGGAAACAATAAAAACAAAGTCAGTATATGATTATTTTATATTAAAAATTCCAATGTATACAAATGTATTCTTATGGTAAACTTATAAATAAACATAGGTGAAATAACTCCTCAGAAATAAAAAGCTACAGCCAGGTGGTGGTGGTGCATGCCTTTAATCCCAGTACTCAAGGGTCAGAGGCAAGCAGATCTCTGTGAGTTCAAGGCCAGCCAGGGCTATATAGTGAAACTTTGTCTCAAAAAAAAGAGGTGGGGTGGGAGTGGGGTGGGCTAGACACAGTGGTGCAGATCTGTAAACCCAACACTTGGGAGGTGAAGGCAGGAGGATCAGAGACCTAAGGTCTTTTTTTTTTCAACAACCAGAGCCAACAATAAAAAAACACAGAAATATGGAAGCATGATAAAGAATTTTAATGAGAACTTATTATATCCCCAAACAACCTAGTGTACTTTTGGAGATGTTTCCTATTAAAAACTCAAACATATTGTAGATCACTAAATACTAAATAATGAGAGGGAACTGATGTAAAAGAATTTCCACTTTCTCCTCCAGTATCAAAGAAATATCAAGTAACCAACAAAAGTGGTTCAAGAGTATTCCATGGGAACAATGGTCCATGCCTGGTTTGCCAGCAATTGGGAGACTAAAGCTGGTGGATTGATGTGAAGTCTTGGCTAGTCTGCTGTACAGTTTAAGGAAAATATCTCTAAAAATCCAAAAGGAGAGTGTTTGCTTCCACCTATGCATGCAATGATTTAACTGGTTAATATAAATTCCCTTTTATTTGACTCTTGCCTGTAGCTTGAATTTATAACATGAATAAAAATAGTAAGAAGAGAAAACATAAAGCAAGCAAATTTTCTTGTATAGGGCACTGTGCTTATTTAAAGTCACACTAGTTGGTATAATTGGCTAATCCCAGAGGACATAAAATTCATTTAGAAGCCTTAGGGGTTGGGGATTTAGTGCAGTGGCAGTTTTTGCCTAACAATCAAAGGCCTGGGATTCAGTCTTCAGCTCTCGAAGGGTGGGGTCAAAATTCTGACTCGCATTCACTAACAAATATATGAAGTTAAATAGCTGCCATATAAATGTCTTTATGAAGTTGAAGAAGATACCAGAAGATGGAAATACCTCCCATATTCATGGATTGGTAGAATTAACTCAGTAAAAGTGGCCATCCTACTAAAAACAATCTACAAATTCAACGCAATTCCAAATCAAAATTCCAACCCAATTCTTTACAGACCTTGAAATAACAATACTTGTCTTCATATGGAAAAACAAAAAACTCAGGATACCTGGAACAATCCTATACAATAAAAGAACATCTGGAGATACAACATTCCCTGATTGAAAGCTGTACTATAGAGCTATAGTAATAAAAACTGCATGATACTGGAATAAAAACAGACATGTTGATGAACTGAATTGAAGACCCAAATATAAATCCACACACCTGAAGACACCTGATTTTTGATAAAGAAGCCAGAAATAAACAATAGAAAAAAAGAATCTTAAAAAAAATGGTGCTAGTCTAACTGAATGTCTTGCCTGTAGAAGAATGCAAATGGAGCCATATTATTTCTCACCCTGCACAGCACTCATGTCCAAGTGGATCAAAGACCTCAACATAAACCAGACACACTAAACCTGATACAAGAGAAAGTAGGGAATATCCTTCAATACATTGGCATAGAAGGCAATCTTCTACACAGAATATTGATAGTAAGATCAACAATTAATGAATGGCAACTCATGAGACTGAAAAGCTTTTGTAAGGCAAAGGACATTGTCAATAGGACGAAATGGCAGTTCAAAGAATGGGAAAGGTTTCGCCAATTCCACATCTAAGAGAGGGCTAATATTCAGACTATATAAAGAACTCAAGAAATGAGACATCAACAAACCAAATAATCCAATTAAAATGGGGTACAGATCTAAACAGAGAATTCTCAATAGACAAATTTCAAATGGCTAAGAATCACTTTAAGAAATGTCTAATATCCTTAGACATCAGGGAAATGCAAATCAAGGCTACTTTGAGATTCTATCTTATACCTGTCAAAATGGTTAAGATCAGTAACACAATTAAGATCAGTGACAACTCATGCTGGAGACTCCTCTACTGCTGGTGGGAATGCAAGCTTCTAAAGTCACTATGGAAATAAATATGGTGGCTCCTCAGAAAATTGGGAATCTATGTACTTCAAGACCCAGCTATACCACTCTTGGGCATATACCCAAAAGATGCTTTATCCTAGCACAAGAACACTTGTTCACTTATGCTCTAATTGTAATAGCTAGAATCTAGAAACAACCTAGATGGCTTTCAACTAAAGAATGGATAAAGAAATATGGTACATTTATACAATGGAGTATTATTTAGCAGCTCAATATAATAATATCATGAAATTTCAGGCAAATGGATGCAACTAGAAACAATCAATTTGAACAAGGCAACCCAGACTCAGAAAGACAAACATGATATGTACTCCCTCATAAGTGGGTATTTTCTGTTATGTAAAGGATAATCATGTTACAATTTATAGACCCAGAGAGGCTAAGTAAAAGGAGGGCTCTAGTGGGAACACATGTATCTCCCTGGGAAGTGGAATAGAATTTTGTGGGTAGACTGGGGGTGAGTGGGGACAGGAACAGGAAAGATCAGGTGGGGAAGGGAGGGACTGAAGGAGGGAGTATGGCGAGAGACTGGAATAGGGAGGGAGACACTTAGGGAGCAATGTGGAAGCCTACTGCAGTGGAAATTTCCTGGAACCCATAAGGGTGGCCCTAGTGAGGGTTCCTAGTAATGGAGTTTATGAAGCCTGAACCAGCCATCTTCTGTAACCAAGCAAGGCTTCCAGTGGTAGGGCTGGGACACCAACTTTTGAACCACAACTTGTCCTGCCTGCAAGATGTGCTGGGTGGGGCCATGGTGGCTCAGAGCTTGTGGGAGTGGCCAAGCAGTGACTGGTCTAATTTGGGAGTCCATGCCAGACACTGCCTGGATGGCTGGGAACCAGAAGCAGAATGGCCCAGACTCAGGATAGAACAACAACAACAACAACAACAACAAAAAACAACAAAAGAAGCCAATGAAATGAATCCTAATGATTCTATACTCATAGATCAGTGTCTGGTCCAATTGTCATCAGAGTGGCTTCATCCAGCAGATGCCTGGAGCAGATGCAGAGACCCACAGCCAAGCATCAGGCAGAACTCAGGGAAACCCACTTAAGAGGGAGAGGAAGGACTGTAGGAACCAGAGGGGTCAAGAATACCATGAGAAAACAGCCCCTAGAATCAAACTAACCATGGCTCATAGGGGATCACAGAGACTGAAGCAACAATCTTGGAGCCTGCATGAGTCTGCTGTTTGTGTTTTTTTAGTTTGGAGTTTTTGTGGGAGTCTTAACAGTGGGATTGAGGAGTGTCTTTGATTCATTTTGCCTGCGCCTGGGACCCTTTTCCTCCTATTTGGTTGCCTTATCCAGTGTTGAGATGAGGACTTGTGCCTTATTGAGTCTTGTTATGCCATGTTCTGGTTGATATCCCTGGGAAGGAGCAGTGGATCTGGAGGAAAGGGGAGGCAGTGGTGGGAAAGCTGAGAGGAGCGGAAGGAGAGGAGGCTGCAGTAGGGAAATATTGAATGAGAGAAGAAAAAATTAAAATGAAAAAGTCTTTGACAATAATTGAGCCATTTCTGTTTTCTTAGCATCCTTATGGATTTGATAGTTAATACAGAATTTTAGAACATTAATTGTTTTTTTTAAATCAGAGCTTCTAAAAATTATGACAATTAGAAAAATGCCATAAAACAAGTAAATGTCACTTTGATTCCTATCTGTATGATACTAGGCCTTATTGGGTACTGTATGGCATTTTTTTTTATCACTTGTATATACTAACCTCTGGAACTTTCATCTTCTGTATTTCACTTTCCAGTAAGGTTTTCTCCAATAATAATACTTGAAAATCAGTTTCCATCTGTTTATATTTCTAAAGACAAATGAAATAATTCCAATTAAAACCAGGCATCTCGATAAGATTTATTTCAATACTTAGTTACTAATGTAAGACTAACTTCCCTAAGCTGCCATTGGGATTGGTACAGCTACATGTGCAGGAACTTCCAGCTTAGTATTTCAGAAGTGTTCTGAGTGACTATGATATCTAGAAAGTAAAAGGGACACACAACCCCTTCTAGTTCATGAGCCCAGAGAAGCTGGGTGAACTGAGTGAGTGTTAATATCTAATTACAACAGTAGAAAAGGGCCATTTGTGGAGTCTCTTCAAAAATCAAGGACAAAGTAGAGTATCAAATTAAGAGCATTATACTTACAGTCTCAATTATACTCTGATCATTTAAAGCTCTGAAAAATAGACCAAAAGTAACTATAGTATAATAAATACATACATATTTTTAGTTATGGAACACATTTACATTTTCCTCTTAAAGATTTCTAACAGACTCCCCTGTCTAGTCTCACAACTTCCTCTTATGCTGTAGCCAACATCTAGTTAGACTCCTGCCAGGACGCTCCCTACATGCATCTATCTCCAGGACCCTTTGGGAGGCCTTCACCACACATACCTTAGACCAGTGGTTCTCAATCCGTAGGTTGCAGCCCCATTAAGGGACAAATGACACTTTCACAGGGGCTGCCTGAGACCATGGGAAGGCACAGATACTTTCATTATGATTCATAACAGCAGCAAAATTACCATTATGAAATAGCAAGGAAAATAATTTTATGGTTGGGGTCACCACAACATGAAGAACTGTATTAGAATCACAGCATTAGGAAGGTTGAGAACCACTGCCCAAGATGAATCCCAGGACACAGAAATTAAAAGAATATTCATAAACTTCCTCAAAGAATTAAAGGTGTGTAAAGAAGACACAAGGAAACAGTTCAGTGAAAGCAGAGAGAAACATGTTAAGGAGAATAAATTCCTTAGTGACACCCAAGAAAACACAAATATTATGCTGATGGACATGATGGCGACAGTCCAAGACTTGAGAAAAGAATAGAATATAGAAATACCAAAGAGGACACCAGATGAAATGAAGACGTAATTGAAAAACCCAACAGCCCAACTAGAAAACTCAAGGGAAAACCTGTACAAACAGAATGAATCAAGTAGAAGACAACATCAGGTCTCAAAGACAAAATAGAGGATCTAGGCCAAATAAAACAGGTACATGAAAAATTAAACAAACAACACACAGGAAATATTGGACACCATGAAAAAAACTGCCTTCAAAATATAGTCATTGATGAAGGCAAAGAATCCCAAAGTCATAGAAAGCTCCCCTCAACTCAAGAACATCTCACCCATACAAATACAAGAAGTACACAGAACACCAAGTAGACAAGGCCAGAAGAGAAAATCCAGGGCATATCATAGTTAAAACACTAATTATATCCTGAAATACTTACTGTGACATATTACATAATCCATGAAAATTGTTTAGAAAAACGTATTACCTAATGTCAAAGTAACTACTTTTGGGTATTGGTGATTGAATCAGAACTATCTGATGGAAACTAAGGTGATTAACTCACAGCCACTAAATTTCTGTAGCCTGACTTTAGGAGTGTGACTTCCTTATCAAAAGCCCTCTTATACCATAAACAGTTCATTTGTACGCGCGCGCACGCACGCATTCACACATACATACACACACACACACACACACACACACACACACACACACACTCATGGATAGTGATTTTCCTTCAAAAATATTTCTTAAATACTTCATCTCATTGTTTTTAAGTTTTCATAGTTTGGAAATATATACTCAGAGCAAAAATATGTGAACCATATAATAATAACTAGAAAGGAAAAATCCAATATTCATACTCAAGTGGAGACACTTGCAGTATCAGAAGCTCCTGTAGGGTCCTCCCTCATAAGCTTATCCTTCCCAGAATTCCAGTGTCCTGAATTCATTCTTATTGCCAATGTTTCTACTTGTAGACAGTGTAGGTTAGCTTCATATGATTATTGAAATTTGTGTCCTTGAGTTTAAAATCCCCAAGCTACAAAAAAGTAGCCAGGAAATACAATGAAGTTTTCCATACTATTTACCTAGATTCCCAATTTTAGTGTTTTACTATGTTTTCTTTGTGTCTTAATCTCCACTTATGTATATATGACACGTACATATGTGTGTATATATTTGCTGAACCATTGAAATAAGTGTAAAACCCTGGTTTAATAAAACACTAAGTATACAGAGCAAAAAAGTATTAAAAGTTACAAGGGAATAAACACAAATCACATATAAAGGAAAAACTATCAGAATAATAACTGATTTCTCAATGGAAACTTTGAAAGCCAGAACAGCCTGAAGCAGTGTATTTTATGTTCTAAAAGACTATGATAGCCAACCTAAGATAACACAACCAGCCAAACTAGCTGCTATTATTGAAGAAGAAAGAAAAAATTTCATATCAGAAGCAACCTAAAAAATTGCAAACAACAAAACAAACACAAGGAAAATAAGGAAGCATTATTTTGGGCTGAAGAGGAATGAATACAGCGTATGGCAAGAAATACAAAACCATATTTATTAAAATGGCTAGAAACATCTGAAAAAGTGCTCACAATCCCTAGCAACTAAGAAAATGCAAGTCAAAAAGAACTTTGATATTTCATCTTACCTGAATCAGAATGGCAACACTCAATAGAATGACAAGACAACAAATGCTGGAGGGGATGCCAGGGGGTTGGGGCAACCCTCACCCACTGTTGGTAGGATTGCAAACAGTGCAGCCTGTATGGAAATCAGTGTGGAGAATTCTAAAAATTTCTCAACAAGCTAAACATAAATCTACCACATGACCCAGCTTTATTACTCCTTGTCATTTGCCCAAAGGACTCCATACCATACTTCACAGATACTCGCTCAGCCATGTTCATTGCTTCTCTATCCTCAATAGCTAGGAGACAGGAAAACCCTACATGTCCTACAACTGACAAATGGTATATACAGGAGAAGGTGGGAAGAGGGTAAATGGGAATGGTAGGATACAAGTGATCTGATAATGGAAATGGGAAGAGGGAGCTCCTTAGGGAGGAAGAGGGAAGTAAATACACAAGAACATGGGAGGAGGGTAAAGGGCGAAGGATCAGATATTAATTGATTTGATTGGGGAAAAGCAATAATATAAGGCTCCTTATGGAAGGGGGAGTGAGGTGAATATAGGAAATGAAGGTAGATATATAAAATAATGCTGATGGCTGAAAAGGCCACAAGGAAACATACTATTAACTATTTACCTTAAAAACCTATAGTACATGTAAATATATATATATATTCCATAAAGTTTTCTCATCTGGGCTGATGGTGCTCCCTGAAACAGTCACAGATCACCTAACAAAACCCCAATACTAAATGTGAGAATTCTTCTTTTGAGTTGTTGGCCAGGGCTAAGCGACTTCCCAAGCCTATAACCTATTGCTGCTGCCCTTGGTTGTCCCTCAGAGGTAGAATTAAGTTCCTAATACTGAGGATACTTCAGAGACAAGGCTCCGAGACCTCCGAGATGGAACTGACCTGATTGGCCTAGGACTATCTTTCATGGTAACAAAGGCACCATGTGCTTCCTAAGGAGAGAAGCAACCAACAGTCCCACCCAGCAATGAGGTCCAATAACTACATTAATGACCAGCACAGCATGATGAAGTAGTGGCATCTACATACATAAATGCACACACACACACACACACACACACACACACACACACACACACACACACACACATACATGCATACATTTAAGAGGTCAACTTTTGATGAGGGCCTTATTTCTTATCTATACTCCCAATGTTTCTATTTTATGAGCTCAGTTTTGTAAGTAGAAAATAAGAAATAATTACTTTCAAAGCTTACCTCTCTAACATAGTTGTCTGATTTTCAAATATTTTAATCATAATACTCATCCGATCAGTCAATGAATAAGGAGTGCCTATTACAAAAAACATAAATATATTATAATGGCTGTGGTTACATTGTCATATAACTTAGTGATGTATATGGAGAAATGAAACAAGCAGAAGGAGGTATATGAGACTTTCAACCACATTTGCCTTATTTTATTTTATCCTATCCATCATCTCTGGCTTCTAACAAGAAACAGTTATAATACAAGGCATACTCAGAGGCAAAAAAAAAAAACACAGTCTGAAGAGATAAGCAATTATCAGCACAAGATTCAGACACAGCAAGCATTTTTACGTTATCAGGCAGGAATTTTAAAAAATGAATTAACAGTATTTATTACCTAGGGGAAGAATGGCAACGTACAAGAGCAGATGGGCAATACAAACAGAAACTCTAATCAATAGGTTAAAAAAAGAAATGCTCAGCTCTACAACACTGTAACAAAGAATGCCTTGTGATGGGCACAGGCCGTCAATAAAAATAAGTAAGCAGAATCATCACTGTTACTCTTTCAGGAGAACTTGCATTGTGCCGATCACTATGTATTCTAATCTGTGTGTGCTCTTTTAATTTTTGTAATAACCAGGTAATATTCTATTGTTAACTAATAAATATGCCTACTCTTTATGGCTGCTGTCAGGACAAAAATTTGGGATTAAGCACTTGGAATCCCTTGCAAAGCAACCTGAGGATTTTTAGAAAATTCTTACGGGCATTTTGCAAACCCTTAAAGCAACTTGCTTGAAAAAAAAAGGCACTGACCTTGCAACTGTCATTGGAAACTCCCTAAATGGAGAAGCAAATGAGTTTAAAATGCAATTGTGTATTATTGATCCGTGAGACAAGTTTGTTTGTTTGGTTTTTTTAAAGATGTGATACATAATAGAGGTAACAAAGGGGGGAATAAAAGAAACATGCAAAGTGATAATGACTACAAATATTCTAAAATTAATAAAATACCAAATCACCTATTGTTTAACATTTTTGTTATCGATGTGTGGCTGTGCGTGATGTGTGTGGGGGTGGGTGTGACAGGACTGGGTGTGGAGATCTGAGCATACTCTGTGGTGTCTGTTTTCTCCTTCACTATTTCCTGGGTTCTGACTTAACTCAGATCACCAAGCCAGTGTGTGCAGTAAGCACTTTTACCTGCCAAGCCACTGGATGGCCTAAAGCTGAAAAAACATAAACAAAACCAAAACCAAAATATGCCCCTAAAACATTGAATAATATTCAAACTTCAGAAATAGCAAATATGAAGAGAAAATTCAAAAGACACCAAAGGGACCAAAATAACCTTACATAGAGAAAAAGGATAAAAGTCCCACCAGACTTCCCTCCCTCCCATACAGCATCCTTGCATGTGAGAAGTCCCTATGACCTCAGAGCTGCATGGTGTACACACAGCACTGCAACCCAATCTTCAATGCTACTCTGTATGCTCATGACTCAAACATAAATGCCACTATCAGAGCAAGTAAGTTTACACAGCTCAAGGCACTGGTGCAATTTCTGCTGAATGTGTGCTTCAGGACCAGTCTGAAAGCACCTGCAATGCAGACACCAGAGCTGAAGATGTAACAGGAACATCTCCACTGAGGTTGCTGAGGAAGCAGTAGCTCAGGATACAGTAGCATCCAGACCTCACAGTCACTGCTAGAACATGACCACCTGTTGTTACAGAACCCAACACATGCACATCCCATAGGTAACATGCCTCAGTGCTGGTGCTACCATCATTGTTTTCACATAACAAGCTATACTGGTCACCACCAGCTATCCTCCTGAAACAGATTCCCTTGGGTGAAAACACATACACACACACACACACACACACACACACACACACACACACGAATCTTAAACAGTCTTTGATACTAAAAATTTCAACAGGTCCCTGTGCAAAGTGCTTGCATACTGGATATGACGACTCCTGCAAACTAGTACACAGACTAGCTCAAGGATACTGAGCTGTTGTTTGAGGCCAACCTGGGATACTTGAGACTCTTTCTTAAAAACAAACAAATAATAACAACAAAACCCAGACAAAATCTTGAAAGCATCAAGAATACAGAGGTTCTCACTATGGTGGTATGAATGAATATGTCCCCCACAGGCCCATATACATGAGCACTTGGTCCCCAGTGGGTGGTTGTAACTGGGAAGTTATAGAAGTTTGCGGAGGTATTAACATGACGGTGTTCAAATGAACGGCAACTTACCTGATTCAACTTCAGACACAAATTGAGATTCAAACTCTGGGTGGGATTTTATGAATTCTGAAATAGATACAAGTATCTGCCATTAAACATTTTATATAGCAATCCTATGCACTATGCACTTATGTAGGTTCACAGTCTACATTTTTAATTTTAATTATTTGTCCAAGAAGAAGACAAAACAACTTCATGGGAACAACAGCCTAATCATAATAGCATTCATATATTTAGAATATTTATTTTTACTTTAAGTGCTTGAGTGTTTTGCCTGTATATATGTATCTGCACCATATATGTGCAAGGCTGGCAGACACCAGAAGAAGGAATCAGATCCCCTGGAACTGGAGTTACAGAGAGGTGTGAGCAGCCATGTGGGAGTAGGAATCACACTTGGGTCCTCTGCGAAAGCAGCCATTACTCTTAACTGCTGAGCCATCTCTTCAACTTGGCATTAATCTTTTATGTTTCCAAAATCCACACTATGATAAAACTTGTATTGAAATATCAAACTCCCTACTGAACAGTGTCTTCAGTTTGCCATCGTATTATTCTTTTAATTATAGAAATTAAGTTTAAGTCTCAAAGTGCTAATATAGTTAGGAAACTGTATAAAGATTAAGCATTTATAAAATATTACCTTCAATTTGCTTCTCTATAGCTTCAAAACTTTTCATTGTTTCTGACACAATATCTTTATCCCTGTTAAGAGTGCCAATAGATAAAACATATCTTCATACACATTAAGAGTTAAGTTACATGCCCAAGGAACTATATTCTACAGACTACACACATGAAGTTGGTGAAATACAAGTTAATTATTTATCCTTCATTCATAGTTACTAAGACAAATGAATAGTAAAGCCATCCCATGTTATAAAGGCCAAATTCTGTGAATTGTGTATTTCAGGACATAATTAAATACACAAGTAAGTATCAATTATAATAAAAATGTGTAGAAACTGGAGATCTCTTTTTGCTAAGACATTTTCACTTGGTGTAGTGCTAAGGGCACAAACCTGAGAGTGAGACAACCCTCTCCAAACCTGTAACTATTATGGCCTGGAGCTAGCTCCTGTGACTCTCTCTCTAGGTGCTTTATCTGTTAAAACTTACATACACCAATACCCTTCTCATAATGTAGTTACGAGGCTCCCAAGAAATGCTAGAAAAATATCTTGTGCATAGAAGACATTTAAATGTCAAATATAAATTTTAATATACGTTTAAAAATATTCCTGACAACAAACAGCTCAAAAACGTACAGAAACCTTACAGAGTTGATGCAATAAAAATTCATAGAGAGCTTATACAGAGATTGCATACTAACTTTTACCTTCTTGCAACTATGAGTAGTTTTTCTTTTAACGATATGAAAGTGCTTTATATATACATGATGGAAACCGGTGTCTGAAAGTCCAATTCTAAACATGGTTTTATAATTTTGTTTTTTGTTTTTTTTGAGACAGGGTTTCTCTGTATTGCTTTGCATCCTGGCCTGGACTCGCTCTGCAGACCAGGCTGGCCTTGAACTCACAGAGATCTGCCTGCCTCTGCCTCTGCCTCCTGAGTGCTGTGATTAAAGGTTTGTGCCACTACTGCCCAGCTGGTTTTATAATTTTTAAATAAACATTGAATTTGCTACTAGGACTCACTTGATCACATTCAGACATTCAAGACCCAGAAACACAGAGTTCTCTCTCATTTGTGGTTTCCAGCTCCAAATTCTCAGATGTGAGCATACAACATGGAGTAATGACTAAAACTAAGAAAGTATAAAGAGATCATAGGCATGGGGGAGGGGCATGTGAAGGAATAGTAGGATATAGATGCTATGAAATGAGAAATGAAAAAACATGGAGGGGTTCAAGTAGAGAGGAAGGGAGGGGTGTCAATTCAGAAGGTGAAAGACAGAGGAGGGACAAATAACACCAAGATTGCTGGATAAAGCCTCAAGAAATCCTATTGCTTTATAGTTACCTTACAAAATACATATAAGTATCTATCTATCTCTCTATCTATCTTCTACTTATCATCTATCTGTCCATCATCTATCAGTCATCTATCTATCTATCTATCTATCTATCTATCTATCTATCTATCTATCTATCTATCTATATCTATTTATCCAAGTATCATCTGTCTACCTATCATGTGTCTGTATGTCTGTCTATCTATCCATCCATCCATCCATCCATTTATGTTATTATTATCTACCAATCTACCTAGGAGGAAATTATGCCATTTGAGTGATAATGATCCCTACAAACCCCAAAAACTAATAGAGATCCCAGTGCCAGGAATGAGTAACCACCAATTGAATGGTTGGTCAGGGTATCTTGAGTGACTCCTAAAACAATATAGACTATATATAGACCTTGGCTGCTTCCTGGGAGTTGAGGGTAGAACCCTATTTCTGAATAAACTGCATACTTTGGACACAGGACTCAAATAATTTGAGCTGTATCTGACCTGGAATTTTCCTTCCTTCAGCCTGGCTTCCACAGTAGCAGAAGATACTTTGAAGGCTGCCAAGCAAGGGAAGCAATTAAACAATCCTACCTAGTTGAACCACAACAATGAACAACATGGTAAGACACCATAAAGGTGCAATAGGGACATTCAAACATTGTTGGTAACCAGCAGTTGTCTAACTTGATCTAAGGCCCACTCAACAGGAAGGAAATAATGTCTAGTACTGGAAACAAAACTAGTGAGGTAATGGACCTTAAGAAAGAATCTACCATCACCAATTTGTTAAACCTGCATAATACCTAACTACATTGTAAACCTTATTCTCTTACTCATAGATAAGGATACCTACACTTCTTATCAAAGAAGCCCCTCTTTATAGCAAGTGGAGGCCATCACAGAAGTCCACAAGTGGACAGAATGCATAGGTGAATAGATCATGGGGAACTCTCACCCCCAACAGATATGTCTACATCATGGCACCTGCATCTATTTTTAGAGAACATCTCAGAAAAGGGGGTGGAAAGATTGTAAGAGCCAAAACAACAGGAAGTCTGCTGTGAAACCGTATCTCCTAGAAGAGGTTGCATAAACAGGACTGGAGTGGCAATATCAGTGAAGATGCTAAAGTGGAAGGTGAAATTTTTTTGCGGGGTCCCACCCCTAGACAGAGAATTACAGACAATTATTGACTACTAGGAAAAGAATTAACTTGTCTCAGAGATGAGCTCTCTTTATTGGCTATCCAATGCAAAATGGTGGGTCCTGAAACCATAACACACAAACAATAAAAACAAACCCAGTAGATTGTAATTATCTATTTGTGCATACATATAATACATATATGTATGTATGTGATAATAATAAAGACAAAGGGGCTATTGATTTGAGAGCGCATGGGAAGGCACCTGGGAAGGACTGGAGGGAGGAAAGGGGGGTATGATGCAATTCTATTTCAACTAAAATATATTTAAATTAAGAAACATGTTTACAATCAAGATGTCTTTAAGATAGTACTATCCAACAGAAAATTTAAACACTAGCTATATATGGCTATTGAGTACTTAAACTGTTTTTTGGATGCCCTAGAAGCCAATTTGTTTTACTACACTGAATTTGAAAAACCATATGTGGCTAATGTCCACTACATTGAATAACACCATCTCAGACTATTAAAACTTCAAATCAGAAAAAGCAACTAAACATTCACATATCATTTAGAAGTTCTTTGTGAGGCAGGAACATTGACTTAGCTTACATCCAATGCTAACTACTGGTTTTAATTCAATTAATCCTTAAGTTTCACTTACATGTGTTTGGTCCCCAGGGATCCCCTTTGCTCTTTCAGGCGGTTTTTTAGCTCTTCAAATTTATGTACCAGATTTGCTATTTGTGAAATGTTTAAATCAACTGTTTTATCGTCTGATGGAAGATCTTCTTCAAAATTGCTTTGGTCTCTACTTATCTAAAGTGACAAAATTTACCAGTTATTAAAGAGCTGTTTGATCTCATACTTCAAAAGCATTTCACTATTTCCTTTATCAATCTAAGTAACTTTTATTTAATCTCATAGTTAGCTATATCCAAACACTGGTATAAAAGTCACAAATGCAGTGAAGGGCATTTCACTATCAACAGTGCTACAGCTGAGCCAGTATATTTATATGTCACAGCTGATGTTTACTATTTTGCTATATAAAATTTTTAAGAAAGCCCAATAACAACAAATGCAACTCAAAAATATTGACAAGAACAATTCTAAATTGTTTCATGTAATTTTTTTCTAAGAATACTCCATCGTGATAAATTATAGAAAGGCAATGGTAAATTAAGGACCCTCCTATCACTAAATTCCAGATATTAATGTGCTTTCATTTTTCGTGGGGAAACATTTACATGCCTTTAGATATCTCAAGCCAAAGCAAACAAAAACGAAGAGAAGTTTCTGAGTGATGATTGCACTTTCTGTCATTACCCTTTAATTTTCACCCCAAATAGCAAGCCTCTTTTGTCTTAAAGAGTGTTTAACTAGAGAGAGTGATCAGCATAGCCAAAGGAGTGGCAGAATACTTCTTAACAATCCCTGAGGCCACCTGGGAAACAATTATTTGATGCTATATGATATATATATATATATATATATATATATATATATATATGTATGTATTATATATTCCCTCTCAAAAGAGAAAAAATAGTCCTTGAAGTCATAGGCCAGTTGTTCTCAGTGGAGTGTTTAAAGTATTTGAAAATCTAAAATGTAAAGGGTATCATTAAAGAACACAATACATTTTCTGAAAGTCAATATAGTTTTATGTCTGCTTATATTAGGCATATTTTTTTAAGCAGAGGGGAAATTTTAAATTGATAAATTTCTATTACTTTTATGTAAATCAAAAAAGAAAGTGAATGAAAATTTTCATTATTCTTTAGGAGAAACAATGATCTAATAAGTCCTGTTCTTTCCTGGACTTATGCAGAAAACTCACATGCAAATTACTGATAAACATTTTTACTACCCACTAATTATTTTTCAACCTAATTGAAATATTATCCTATAATCAATGATTATTGAAACATTTGACTTATACATACTTCAAACAGATTTTCAAATAGGTCAAATACCTACTAATGTACCCAATAGTTAAGAGGTTTTAGATTTTTACCTCCTCCATTTGGTTGACTTGTTGCTGAAACCACTTCATAAAAAAGGAATGAAAAGGAGACAGTTAATACACATGTATTGATGAACCCACATCTTCCCAGCACCACGTCTGACTCACACACACATCACACAGGGTTCAGAACGGGGCTAGTGCAACATACAAATGCAAATAGAAAGTTAGAAATAATCTAGCAGCAACCATGCAATCCTGCACCTTCAAAACCAGATCATCTTTGCTTAATTTGCATTTTTTCTCTTTAGTTTAAGCTGTAATAAAATTGAAAACATACCATGAAAAGAGACTCCAAAATCTGGAAAACAAAGTTTTTGTTAGTATATTTAAAGATAAATACAAGTGTCATGCAACTCTTATAATTTTGGATCATAAATCTGCTGAAATTACTATGATTCATATTGCTAAAATAACAACAAATCTGTAGTTCCAAAGCTATAATAATTTTGTAGTTATGGTGTTTAGTCCATTTTGTATACACAACTACTTCTAGAATTAAAAATAGCTTGAGTCACACCTGTGTTGGATGTTTTCCAAGGGTGACTAACTTACCTTAACACAAATGACAGTGGAGATGTGCAATTTCAGAGGGAAATCACCTTGGGCTTATCTTAGCCCCCAAATAGCCATTTTCTGTCGATCTCTGTGTATGCGATATTTTTTTTTCTTTTTTGTGATTCCTAGAGTCTACTTTTTAGCTTTTAAAATTTTAATTAGAAAGAAGATTATTTTACATGCCAATCCCAGGTCCCTCTCCCTCCCCCTCTTTCCCTGCCCCCCCAACTAACACCCTACCTATCCCATACCCTTCCTGCTCCCCAGGGAAGGTGAGGCCTTCCATAGGGGGGTCTTCAGAGTCTGTCATATCCTTTGGGATAGGGCCTAGGCCCACTCCCTTGTCTCTTGGCTCAGGGAGTATCCCTCCACGTGGGATGGGCTCCAAAAGTCCATTCCTATGCTAGGGATAAGTACTGATCTACAAGGGGCCCCATAGATTTCCGAGGTCTCCTCACTGACACCCACATTCATGGGGTCTGAATCAGTCCCATGCTGGTTTCCTAGCTATCAGTCTGGGGACTAAGAGCTCTCCCTTGTTCAGGTCAGTTGTTTCTGTGGGTTTCACCAGCCTTGACCGGATATTATTGTGACAATTAGACCAACCAGTTTCCAATATACAGACAAGTTCTGCAAGTTCCATCAACTGAATGGCTAATAAAGCATGAGTTAGCACCTAAGGCCCACAGCAGAGATTTCCCTACTGTGCCAAAACCTGCCTACCTGATGTGCCCAGAAAAGTATTTGAAAAATGCTTGATTTATAATTTCTTTTCTGCCCTGTTGGTATAAAAATTTCATGATTTATTGCAAGATAGTTTATTTTTTGGAGGTGAATACGAATATTGCTTTCCTGCTTTCTTTCTATGTATGCTTGTCATTTGTATACTGGAGGCTTCTGATTTTTGTTTCTAAATTTTATGTCCACCTATTTTACTGAATGTGTTAATGAGTAGAGATTTTTTTTTTGTGGAGTTATTAGGATCTTTTATATATACGGAACCATCGTCTGCAAATAAGGGTATTTTGACTTCTTCCTGTCCTCCCTAGGCTACTGAATCAGATATTTAGTGGGGCCAGCAGTCAGTTGGTGACTTTAGGTGACTGCTTTTTATGCTGAAGTGTGAGTTGGTCTAACTTGTGGTTAATGGAGCTGGAGTGTACAGGAACAGTATGAAAAGCTTCCTGAAGAGAGGGCTGCATGCTTTTTATTTTTGAACTGCTGTGACAAAACATGATGGTGAGGGCAACTTAGAAAAGAAAATGTTTGATTGGATTTAGGGTTAGAGTCCATGATGGTGGAGCAAAGGCACACTGCTTCAGGGACACTCTGGAGCTCCCTTCTTGATCTAAAAGCAGAAGGCAGAGAAAGCACACTGGGATGGCCTGAGCTTTTCAAGTTTCAAAACCACCCCTCTAACACACTTCCTCCAACAAGGCCATACCTCCCAAACAGTTCCACCAACTGGGAACCAATTTTTCAAGTATGACCTATGTGGGCTACTCTTATTCAAACCACCACATTCTACTCCATGGTCCCCACAGACACGTGGCCACATCACAGTGCAAAATGCACTTAGTCCAACTTCAAAAGTCTCTATCATTTTTTAGTATCAACACTGTTTAAAAGTCCAACTTTCAGAATCTGTTTTTTAGACTCAAGGCAATCACTGCACTGTAAAAATCAAAATGCAAATTACATACTTTCAACATACAATAGTACAGAATATATATTACTATCCCAAGAGGAAGGAATCCAGACACTGAGGACCAAAGAAACATCCTGGGCCAAGCACAAATCCTGCAGTTAAACTCTTCTTGTGTTTGAGCTCAGAGGGCTTAGCTGGCTCCAGGATTCCAGCTATGCTTCCTGCAGGATCCACCTTTCTCTTGGGCTGCTCCACTCTACCTCGCAGCCCTCCTTGGAAGGTGTCCCAGGGCTCTGGCACGTCTAACATCTTGGCGGTGGGGGGGGCTCCAACACAGTCCAGGCTTCATGTTTAACAGCTTCACATAATGGCCTCTCAGAGCCTTTTGCCCTCTGAGGATCTCCATGCAGGCACTTCCCTGTCATACATTGTCTGGCCTGAGCCTCTCCTTTACCATGGAATAAGACTGCATCTCTTTACTCACGTATCCATCACAACTCACTTTCATTTGTTTTTTAGGAGCACAAAATTTCATAGGCCTCTTTCACAGGTGAAAGAAAGTTTTTCTGGGTAGGGTCTTGCCCTCAGGGCACCTCAGGCCTTTCATCAATCTCCTTATCTCTTCCAGTAGAGACCTCGGCTCCAGCATTTTAATTTTCAGGTGCACCTTTTCTCTTGCAGCTGTACATCTGGTATTGTTTTCTGCTCTTTTTCATTGTAGACTCATACAAGAATGATTACTGGTAACCGTGGGGGCAGAGTCAATGATAGAGTACTTTGAAATCTTCTCCACCAAAGACTTTATAGTTCATTACTTTCAAACATAGGCTCAGGGAAGGTCTCAGGACTTTCGAGGAAAGCAGCTGCATTCTTTGCCAAAATGTCACAGGATGGTGGGTCTCTAGTCCAGTTGCTGAGATTGCTCCTCTCCCAAATCACAGTCTTCATGGATCTGTCTTCCAAGCCTCCGATAAGATAGCTCATTAAGCTCTGCTTACAGCATTCAACCGCTTTCTGAGGCTTTGGCCTCGGAATTTTCCATTTTTCTTCAAAATGTGATAAGGCCTATCACAGCAACAGCCGACTGACTGCCTTGTACCAACTTGTGTCTTTGTTATTTTTAAGTTGCTGTGACAATAGCTTTAAATGGGATGTCTCTATCAAATCTCCTTACCCCTCAGAGCTCAGGGAACCAACCCATGGAAGAGGTGGAAAGAGTGTAAGAGCCAGAGGGGATGGAGGGCACCAGAACAAGGCCCTCTGAATCAGTCACAGACTGAAGCAGCAAGCACAGAGCCTGTAGGGGTCTGCACCAGGTCCTCTGCATACATAAGATAGCTATCAGCATAGCGTGTCTATGGGACTCCTTACTGTGAAAATGAGTGGGTCTCTGATTCTTGTGCCTTTTCTGTTAGGCTGCCCTTTTCAATGTGATGGTTTTTAATTTACCTCTTTATATAATTAGTTAGGTTTTGTTTTTATGTCTGTTAGAAGACTGTTCTTTCTCAATGTGAAACAGAAAGGGAGTGGATCCAGATGGGAGGGGGTGGGCAGGAATGGGAAGGAGGAGTACAGGGAGGGGAGACTGTCATCTGGATATATTTATAAAAGAAAGAATCTACTTTCATTAAAAAAGAGATTAAAAGAAGAGAGACATAAAAGAAATTACAGACTTCTTGCACATTACACTTCGTTTAACTTTCATCTCTGCCTCCTTAAAGAATTATCAAGAAAGCACTGCCTGCAAGAACCAGCAGGGAAAAGATGAGAATTGGTTGCCCGGGGCACGTGGGAGCATCTAGCTATCTTTCAACAATGATGAAATGCTTTGAGCTACAGAGATGGAGGCTGCACAGCATGGTAAATGGACCACATCTCCCTCACCTTTCTGGTCTGAAGTAGTTATGCTTCTAGTTATCTGAATTTCAACCAGTATTAGTAATAGTTTCCCCCCATACCATATTTTTATTAGTTACCTACAAGTTTCATACACTGTACCCCAGTCACGCATTCCTCCCAGATCTACCCTCCCACCCTTGTGTACCCCCAAAAAGAAAAGAAAAATCATTTTTAAGTTAAAAAACTTGCAGTCCTATTCTAGAATTCTTTTTCATTATAAACACTTTAAATTATTCATTTTAGAAAATTTTCAACAATTACCTTTGAATGTGATTTATGTCTTTTCCATATATTTCCGAGTATTTCAAGATATGACTTAAGCAGACTTTTCTTTCAAATTCTATTTTGTGACTAATTGAAACTTTCAGAACATATAACAAAATAATTTGGTAGCATTAAAAAATAAATAAATGACTGTAAAATAAACACATTGTAACTTTTGCTTTAGAATTGTCATCTAATTAGAAATATTTTCAGAATAAAGCAGGCATAAGTATTTATGGAAAACATCTAATCCAGTGGAAGCTATATAATCAGTATTGTATTGAAAATATATATTTCAAAAGGTAATAAACTAACAACCCAATATAATATTGCAATTTAAATTTTATTAATTAATTTTAATGTGGAAATCACTAATTTCCCTAATAAAATGACAAATACATAGAAAGAGAGAGGAAGAGAGAGACAGAGAGATCATACCTACACCTCATATACACAAATTGTGGAACAGTGTTAATTAACTTTTACAAAAGTCATTTCTCAATATTTATGTATTTGATATATATCAACATATTTTGTAATTGTGAATATGCAATCTTATTTTTTAATTACATTACAACAAAAATGCAAAATATAAAAGAATTTAAATTACTCAGAAGACTGTTAGATCAAAAAATGAAAAAAAAGACAATATATAAGATGCTGTGACAAAAATCAAAGGCAATTTATAAAAGAAAGCATTTAATTGGGCTTACAGTTTCCGAGGGTTAGAGTCTATAGGGTGGAGCAATGGCATGGCAGCAAGAAAGCTGGGAGCAAAGCTAACCCCATGACACACTTTCTCCTACAAGGCCACACATCAAACTCTTTCTCAGAGTTCCACTAACTGGGAACCAATTATTCACCATGATCTATAGGAGCAATTTTCATTCAGAGCAACACAATGCGTAAAGTGGAATTTTCAGAAATGGCCT